AAAATTGACTGGTCATGCGCTAAGGTGAATAAGTATAGCAAATCAAAACGCATACAGTTTGTATGCAACTTTTAAATGCAATTTCGAAACAACAAAAAAACACACTCATGAACACATTGTTATTAATTATTGATGAACATGTGTTGACATGTAAACGTTTTCCATGCAAATATATGAAAAATTTAAGAAATATTAGAAAATAATAAGAAAAATTTGTATGGTCAGAAAATAATCGACCCCATAATGAAAATATTTCAATAAAATTGGATCATTGGAATTGGAAATAAAAATAGCTCATTTTTTATAATCCGACTTTACTGAAAAGAATGCGTTAATTCGATTCTAACAAACATATCTAATATTAAGACGAAAATTCAGAACTAATCAAAAATATAAAATTAATTACTTATAAAAGTTCGGTTGTTGGGATTTAATTTGCTGCAGAAGTGGTTGTCAAATTTCCAATATTGTACTCAAATACTGATAAAATCAATTTAGCCTATCCTGAGATAAAAAAAAAAGTGTACAAAAGCTGAAACCATAGATGTCACAATTATTTTATAACTCTCCAGAACGAAGTTGCGTTTTCGTTGAAAGGTCAACATGTATAAATTTAATGTGATCACACTACACTTTTCTCTTTTTATGCCATGCGATCAACGTAAAACATAATTTCTTTGAGAAAAGTCTTCCTAAATTCGAAAAAATTAAACAAATAAAACGTCTATGTGGAACTACAATTAAATAGAGAACTAAAAGGTTCCTCCCTAAATATGACTTTGAAAAAAGCGTAATTTAATTATAATTGTTACCAATTATCTCTTTTTATTGTGTCACTATCAGAATTTCATTTGCCCGTGTCACTGTACCAATGTCATATTTCTATTATATAGGAAACTATTGATTAAGTCGAAAAATTATACAAAAACAATTTTAAGAAGGTATAGGAAGTTCACTACTAATTTGATATTTCAACTACGTATATACGCTATATCAACTTTATATTATTTAACCTTGTCCTGACTATAATACAGAATGAGCCATAAGTCTCTGAATTTTTTTTTATTAATTTTAATATTAAATTCTTTTCTGTTTTTTCAGGGTTGTAAACAAAATTTTGGAGATCCACAACGTAATCTTGTATGTAGTATACAAAGTGAATAAAAATACTGAAACTTTATGCATGCATTTTCAAATTTTAGCGTATGTGTAGCTAAAATTTGAAAATGCAAGCACAAGAAATATTTTTGGAGATATTTTGGCACTGTATTAATATAGGAATCCTCCAAACCCTTTCAGCTGGAGTTATGCATGATTATGAAAGGCAAAGATTTGCGAAGGACATAATAGCAAACACATTTTTTCAGTCTTTCAGAAATTACTTTTTATTTTGCAGAGATTAATATGCACGAGCGTACAGTACAAACACAAAAAGGAGAACTGTCACGGAGAACTGCCATCATATTATTAGTCTCTTTCAATTACTACTCTATAAAAATCCCATCTTTCAAAATTTATTTAAATTTTCTCTTCTTACTGTTCACACAATGCAATTTCCAATTTGAAGAATTTTACCTATTTCTCGAAATTCCTTCGTTTTTAGTAATCCTAATTATTTTCACCCCCCTTTACCTATTTTGACATATCAATAAATGTAAAATTGATTATCTATCTCTTCATATCTAATTCCAACTTTAATATTTATTTTCAAATTTATTTTAAACATAAAAAAAAAAGAAAATTAATGATTTCACTCTTCTTTTCCCCAAAAAATTTTTATTGTACCACATAAATAACAAAAAAAAGAAAAAGCTTAAAATTTGAAATGAGTTCATCTTTCAACTTTTATTCGATAACCTATAATATTGAATAAAATCTTCTCTCAAATGACACAAAATACTCATTCGAACTTTATTACCTTAAATGTAAAAATATAACAATTTCTGTAAATTATTTTCCACATCAAAGAATTTACACTAAGGAACAATTTTCAGGACATTGAATTCAATTCATTTCATTTCATTTCAATCAGATCATGAAAAACAAACATACAAAGAAAAAAAAAATTTATAACTTTAATTCAGAATACCAACAAAAAAAAAAAGGATATAAAAAAAAAAACAAGAGAAAGAGTAACAAGAAAACAAAAGAGACAAAATAAGGATTCACCGAACTTATTCAGATTTTTAAGTCATAAATTTTATTTTCAAATCTCTTTACACGCATAGACGCTCATATAATATTCAACAGTAACACACAAACACATACTAACCAAAAAAAAAAAAAAAGAGAGATGTAAAGTAAATCTGACTTGAATTGATAGCATATAAATGTCCTCATATCTAAGACTTGCCATTCGATATTTTGCACATAACAGGTTGACATTATTTATACATTATCTATGTATGTATGTATGTACATAATATGTAATAATATAAAATACAAATAATATGTAATATAAGTATATAAAAATTCTTGTTACATGATTTTAATATTTATAACTTAAACAGAATTTTTTTTTTCTTGTGTAGGGAAGAAATTTTATATAAGCAGAAGACTGGATGTTATGATTTTTAAAATAGTTTGTAATGTTAATGATTGAAAAATTTTAAGGTTCAACAAATTATGTTGGACATGATCCTCGATCTGGCTCATTTTTCGACAAGAAAACAATTTACATTAACAATATGCTGGTTAACAGTTTTATAATGACAATTTTTCCTATTAATGTGAAATTTTTTTTTTAAATTAGGTGCAAAAACAATGTGTCACATTAATCATATTTTAATAGATTATAAACTACCAGTTAATTTCAATTATTATTAAAAATTTTAATATTTAAAATAATATGAAATACCTATGTAATTGAAATGAAAAATTTAAAGGAAATTAAATAACCACATTGAATCGCAAAGTACCTATTGCAGTTGAACAAATCTTAGTTGTTTTGTGAAGACCAACTTCACAAGTGAAGACAATAAAAGAATTCCAATGTAACACCGGTGAATACAGCTAAGTAATGGACTCTAAGTGAGACCTAATGTAAGTTCGTTTTATGCTCACCGATAAACATATGGGGCTCAAATTGTTATGATTATATGCACAGCATAAAAAATAGAAAAAATCACGTTTATTAAATATAAAAACACCCTATAAATGAATAGACCAACTATGATACTAATTTAACTTTCATATGCATGTTAAGTTTAAAAATTTTCCTTTATTTTGTGTTTTTCATTTGCGTTTAGTTTTTTTTTTTTTGTTTTTAGCTTTAACTTTTATCATTTTAACTGTTTTAAATGAAAAATAAAGTTTTATGATTTACACTAGACTTACCTTTAATCAAGTACTGTCACTTTTGTGCGACAACCGAAAAAATTTACGAGTTTTTAACATAAGAATTATATTGTACACAACATACAAGCACATATACATACATACTTGCACATAAATCTCGACGAAATTGTTGTTAAAAGATATGTCTGTTATTTTTTACCCTCTCTTTCTTGTAAATTATTTTTTTTTCTTACTTTTCTTTTTTTAAATTACAAAGTTTATCGTTATTATGTCCTTGGTAGGATAAAGTTTTCTTATAGTTTTTACATTTTATTATCTTTTATGAAAGAAAAGAGTTAAAAGATTTCATTAAAAAAATTTTTTTTTCCTTTTCAAAAAAGAATTATTCAGGGTTTTCTACAAATGGTTGAATTACAGGCAGATATTTAATTACAGTTATACACCAAGAAAAAATTTTATAAAAAGCTGAAGATTATTCCGACACCAATAATTAAAATAGCAAAGTTTAAAGTTATTTTAAAAGACAAACAAAAAAAATATTTTCAAATTAAAGAAACCTGTAACATCATTAGTGAAAATGTGAAATCATTCGAAACTGGTAGAACAAATATAATAAAATAATACAAAATTTTGGAAGAGCTGTGTTTTAATTGCAAAATTATTTTTAAAAGTCTTGACCTCCTTCAACTACGTAGCTAATATGACACACTTTAAACCCGAAATTCGGGAATTAATGCGAAGAGTAATCTGCATAAAATAAAATCTATGAAATATATTGCTTCTTTAGTTTAGCAGCACCTTAATGAATTGTAACAATTTGGTGCCTTTCTAAATACTAATCTGTTACATCAAACCCATTTGCACTTAACACGTTTTTTTTTGCTAATTTTATTTTATTCAATTTTCTCATTATGTTGGCAATATTTAGCAATATATTTCCAAGAATTGTTAGAATAGATAATGTGAATATATGTATGTATTAAATATGCAGATTATGTTGACAATATTTGGTAAATTTGCAGTGTTGAAAAAATTACACATATTGATTAAAGAAGTACTTTGATATACCGAAGTAGAACAGTTTGTTCATATGAGCACTTGTACCTATTAAAACAGAAAAATTGTAAAACATAAAAAAAATTGGTGCATTTTTAAAAACTAATGCAATTGTGGTTCATAAATTCAAATTCGAAAACAGGCTGGCAAACAAACACGTTGGAACTCGAAAATAGTTCTAATGCTTATGGCTCAATTTTTTGAATTCCTTTTAAATCAACCTTTTAAATCAAAATTTAATTCAAATAAACAATATTGAATGATTTGAAATCTGAGACAAATTTTAATATTCAACCGTGATTTTTCACTCTTTCTGTGAAAATTTCTTTTTTTTTTTACTAATCAATTCCAAAGATTTCAATATAAATTTCAACAATGTTAAACAATAATTTTGATTAAAACGTAGAAGCTCTCAATCTGATAACCCCATTAGCAAAAAACAACAAATAAACCTGTACACTGACATAATGTTCGACTCGTAATATCCTTCAAATTATTTACAATGTTTACATCATAATCATACAAAAAATAAGCAATCAATATAAGTGAACAAGAACATCACATAAAAACAAACGAACAGAAAAAAAGGAAAAAAAAAATTTTTTTAATTATACTCATAACAAGAAAATAAAAAATAATTTCCTTACCTTTTTATTAGAGTTGATGGCAGCGGAAATAATTCCATTTGCCGGTAATGCTGTCATTGTTGCACCTGTAGGATGAATTATTGCACCCGGTGCTATAGCAGTTGGTGCTGGTACTGCTGATGTTGTTGTTGTCATATTTGTAACATTATTATTTGTTGGTGCTGTTTGTACAGGAAAAAATCCTGGAACAGCAAATGGTACCAACAACATTGAATTATTTGTTACTGATGAATTTCCTGTTACTGTTGTATTTGCTTGTGTTGGTGTACCTAGTATAGCTGCTGTACCACTTGGAGCAATTGTTGGAACAATAAATTTTGGTTGATTTGATGGTGTTGCAATTGTTGTACCAATAGTATTAATATTACCAATTCCATTATTAGATATATTACCATTTATTGATGATGATCCTGTACCAGATAATGCTGCTGTATTTTTTCCACTTGATGTAACAACCATACCAATATTACCGTTTGTAATTTTATTATTACAAGAACAAATCGATGATGATTGATTGTTATTTAATGGAATAAGTTTTTCTATAGATGATTTTTTATTACCAACTGAATTGGAGGATATTATATTATTATCTGTTGTTGTTTTTGTTGCTATAGCTGACGTAGCAGTAGTTGTTGTTGCTGTTGTTATTGCTGTTGATGCTTGTGATATTGTATTTTGTATTGAGCTATTTTGTTGATTTAATGATGATGAAGCTGATTCCAATAATGGTGATGTGGACGTTGATGATAATCCTATTTGATGTTCTGATGTTGTAGACGATGGTGTTTCGTTAATTGATGTTGTAGTTGTTGCGGCTGTTGTTACAGTACTTGTTTCAATTTTTAATGATGGCGATGATGATACAGATAACGATGATTGTGGCGATATTGATTTTATTGGTATTGATGACACATTCAATGATGTTGGTGATGTTGCTATTGTTGTTGCTGTCGATGATACTGATGTCGATGTTGATGATGATGATGACGGTAATTGAATTAATTTTATATGTTGAGATTTATGATAATGATTTTGTTGTTCGTGCTGCTGTTGTTGTAAGCAACAACGTGTACAAGATGATGTTGTATTTGATGTGCCAATTAAAGTGCCTCCTGTAGTTCCACCTGATATATTTGGTATTGTTGTATTTATTGGTCGTACATTAATTATAGATTTATGATATTGGTCTTGCTGTTGATGCTGATGATGCTGGTGATGATGATGATGATGATGTTGTTGTTGATATATTTGATGAGAATGATGTGGTTGATGTTGAGTTTGCTGTTGATGACTATACTGATGCTGATATTGATGTTGTTGCTCTTGTTGATTAAAATTATTTGCTGATGTTGTTAAAACATACGGTGCACAATTTTGTCTTGTTTGAGCTAAAATATTAGCGGTATTAGATGTTTTTGGTGCTTTTGGTGTCCAAACGGAACACGGTACTAACCCGACTAAGCGCAGCCCTCCGACAGGGCTCGCTTCGGGTCCTGTTTGTGATGATATTTTGTTAAAACTTAATGCTTTTTATTTAAAGAGATTATTATCGCTTTTAATTTTAGAATTTGTTTTTCTATTTTTGTTCCTTTTTCAGAATAAATTTCAAATAACAACTATGTATATTTTCGTATAACAAGATCTGAAAAATAAAAAATTGAATACTAAGTTTTTCATTTTATAAAATAAAAAATTTTTGGAAAAATTCAAAATTTTTAAATTTAGTAATTAAAATATATTAGATAAAATTTTGCTTAGAGTTACGAATTCATTTATGTATGTTAAATTTAATCTTAAACAGACTAGGGATTTAAAAAATTCCATTTTTCACTAATATGGAAGTAGTACCATGTGTAGTACATATGTACATATATCCACCTTATAGCATATTTTATAAAAGAAAAAGGATATTTCTTTAAAAATCTGTTCAATTCGTTATTTTTTTTTCTTTTTTGTTTTCTTTTCATTTAATCTGAGATACATACTTCAAAAGAATTAAAATACTTCAATATTCCTGCATAAATATAAAAATGTTTGAATATTATAAAATTTATAAACATTCTATATTTAAGGATCTCATCATTTTTCATTGTGAATAAAATAAATAGTGCCGATGGCTAACGAAAAAGGCAGAATATTCAAAATACACAGAAAAAAAAAATAAATAACAATGAGAAGAATTTTATGATTATATCTACATATAAAGAGAGTATGTATAGTAGAGTTCCATAATAAAAGAATATAATATGTGTATATGTTCATAATCACATTCATATATCAACAAACATATTATAATTACTAAATTCAAAGCACATGAGTATTAAGTAAAAATATTTTCTATACTTAGTATACGATTTAAATTCATATGGCTTTTATACAGCTATAAAATATTTTTTATAAACATATGTGTGTGCATAATGCATGCTAATATTATATTGTAAATATATTATAAGTATATCAACATCAATATCATCATCATATTATATGATCATCATAATAATCAACCGGGATTCATCTATAAAAAGGAAGGAAGACTATTTAGATAGCTTTAAATTAAAATTCGCTCAGCTGAAAAATTGGTTTCCACCGCACTACCACTTTAGAATAAACGACTTAAATGGCTATAAAGTAAATCTTTTGTGTACGGTTTTTTTTTTTTTCAACATATAAATTTTATATACTATGTAAGTAAATTTATTATGCAACTGTATATTTGTAATGTATGGGTTCTGTGATGAAATGGAATGTAATAAAAAAATATTTTCTTTTTTTTTATTTGTTTAAAATTTTCTCTATATTTTATAGGAAAAAGACAGAATTAGTATAGTTGCGGTGGTGGCAGGCAGTAATAGGAAAATACAAAAACCTTTTTTTTTTTGTAGAATAATAAATATTGAAAATGTTTGCAACATCTTTTATATTTTATTTTAGAAAAGATGAAAGTATATGCAATATGTCTGCCTGTACAATGATAAAGGATGGCATAATTTTGAAGAACATTTGATTTCATCCTTCTTTTTTCTATTCTACTGTAAAGATACCTATTACCCATATGAATTCAAGCACATATGTATATGATACATATATATAATATGCAGTAGAATAACCGGGTCCACCTTGGTGTCTTTTTTATAGAAATAATATGTATAAAGCCACATAAGAACCACACAATTGCTCGCTAGTATACAAGTACAATTTATTATAGATGAATAAATTTCAAAGTAATAGCTAATGAGTAAATTCTTTTTTATAGTAATATTGTAAGTTATCCAACATGTAGCCACTTATATAATCATTTGGAATTGTACGAGTAGCACAAAAGTAATATAAGAGTTACATACATTTGTTATTTGTATTTTAAGAAAAAATTGACCATCAAATTTAATGAACATTGCATTTTATGCAGAATTGAAGGATATTTTGAAAAAATATTAAGTTATCCTTTATTGTTCTTCCATTTGCTTGTATACTTTTTTAATTTTTTTTATTATGTGTATCAGTGTATGTGTATTCTGAAACTAAATACATAATAATGGTTAATTAATTTGTTGGGTGTGTTTATTTAAGACGATTGCCGTCAATGATTTCAGATTTTTTCTGCATTGCTTCATTTTAATGCCTCTATAGTTTTTCTTCTTTTTCTGCTCAATTTCTCAATTTAAGCGACATTTTTTCGCTCGTCCTTAAGCATAGCTGAAAGTTAATTTTATTTAAAGGAAAACTTAAGCAAACTTAATAAATGCTGTTAGTGATTGTAATTATCATTAATTTCAAAAAACCTTAATTCAAAAATCATAAAAAATCATTAAAAACTACTATAATTAATTGTTTGATAAATAAAATTTAATGTTGATTTCAAGCTCTTTTGAAAGCAAGTAAGAAAGTAGAAACGGAAACGCAGAATTTTAATGAGATTTTTAATGGAAGAATTCTTAACCCTTTGTGCTCCAACTATCAGTCTGGCTGGTACAACAAGTAAAGACGATCTACTTCAACTACCAGTTCTACTGGCAACCTTTAATTTTGTAATTATTTATAGTTAAAACATGAATTTATAGCTGGTACCGTTACTTTTTTAACATTAGACATGTTCTCTATCTGTTCTTTGCTGTTTTGTATGCATTTGCGATCTAAACGGTTAAATATTTCACAATATGAGTTTAGTTAAATCCATTGATCATTGAGGGTGCGTACATGTAGGCTACTGTTTCATGAATTATCACACTAGAAAAGTTTTTAAGAAATAAATTATTATTTTGCTAAATTAATTTACCCTAATATACGAATAAATTTTTATATTCTTAATCAATATTTAAATAATTTACCGATGTTTAATCTACAAAAACTTCACCAAAATGGTTTTTTCTGTTTATGTTATAAAAAAAATGTCAACCAAATTAAATATTTTGAATTTGAATTTATTTTTAGATACATTCAAGTTATCTAAGCTTTTGAGTTAATTCTCGCTAATAAAAAATCATTTTTTCAAAAACTGCAGCATTTTTTTCAAAGTATTGTGATTATAAAATATTTCCTAAAATTCCTTGGAGTTGATTACCAACAGGCGCAAAAAATGCACGGAGTGCAAAGGGTTAAATAACATTTTCTTAAGTTTGAAAAACTTGTACATTTTCAAAAATTTCTTACAGTTTTAGTACTTTTCCAAAAAAAATTTGAAAAAGGATTTTATTAGTATCCCTCTGTTCGTCCGTCCGTAGGCTTGTTTACAAAACTTCTACACTCTTATATGTATTATAGAAAGCTAAAAATTTTCATATGAATAGGTCTTCACTAGAAACTTATTTTCTTAAAATTTAAAAAATTTTTACCAATATCTTCCCCTCTCTAAAAGTTATAGCTCCTAAAAGTTGTAAATATTTGTTAAGCTCCTAAAAGTTAATTATTTGTTGTAACGAAACCACAAATATTTTTAAAATTCTGCAAACACGAAAAAGTAGTGACTGGTTTTTTCCACTGCAGTATAGCATAATTGACTATGAAAGTGACAAAATATCGGTTGAAATTATAAGTTTTTTTTTTTTTTCAAATTTTTGATATCGATAATTTTCTTCTAGACAATATAATTTTTGATCTTCACCCTCATCTCACGTTATCGCCACTCGAAATTTCTAAAATTTGAAAATTCGGTACCTTATAATATTTTCGAATCTGCAGGCTTCTCCTTCTATAAATACAGAAACCTGACATCAAATGCCATACCATTAAAAACTATATAATCATTTATCTTTACTCGCGCAATTACCCCCTGAATTCAACCATTACGTTAATTTTTCGCCTTTTTCAATTTTTTTTTGTCTCACCCTAAATATATGCAATCATTTGAAATATTTTGGTATATGAATGAAAGTAATTTAAAATGTAATAGTTTGTTCTTAAGAGGTGTATTATAAGTTTAGGTGTATTATTTAGGGAAAAATTGCTATTTTATTTATCATTGGTTTGAAACAACTTTATTAAGACAAATTTCCCAAATTTCGAAATTTTCTTACGAAAACAATATAAACATGTATGTAAATTTTATTGTTTAATTTTCCTTTCGATTACTCATATTTCATTCTAATAATATTGTTATAATTATTTAGAATTTCAATAAATTTTCAAATAATATACATACATATAACATTATTATAATGAATTTGTAAAATATTGCCTATATATTGTAGCCTATTTTATGCAATAAAATTCAATCAAATATAAATAAAAACTTTATTAAAAATTACAAAATCAAATAAAAAAAAATATATATATAAATTTTGTACTTTTATTATTTTTTAATGAAATTTTTCTGTTTTACTTTGATTATCGATTTGTAAATTATACGAGAATTTTAATTATACTTTGAATAAATACGAAATTTTGAGTGTATATAGCTTGTATTACAATATACTATTATAGTGTATAAAAAATAACTAATGGAAATATAAAATATATAATAAATAGTTATAAATACCAAAATATATACGAAATATTATAATGAATTTTAGAATGACTTTGAGTAATTCTACAAATCAATCAACTGTATATTAATAGCCTAGATTTTTACTTTTTTTTTTTTTTGTAATTTTTTATTTTTATTTGAAATAATAATTTCATTACTTTTTTATTATTTTATAATATTGTAAAAAGTTTATTTACTGAAATTTCAATATAAACTAATAATAATGGTTGATTTAACAAAGGTAATAATTATTTTTGTGTGTATCGACTCATACAACAATTGTTATACACGTATAATGTGTTGTACAGAGAGCAACAGAGCTTTAGATCAGAACTATTCTAAGTTCGATTTTGAACAAAACAGTTTTTTCACTCATTTACGATTGCAGTCCATAAGAAAACTTAAGGTAGGGTAAGAGGTTTTGTTTGCTTTTCAAAATATTGGTAATAGTAAAAATTTAAAATTTTTCTACTTCAAGGTCGCTATTTTCTTATCAAAAACTGGTTTAGAATTCAATTTCTAAATATAAAAAGTGAAATTAACTTTTAAGAACTTTACATATTTTAC